GAGCAATGCTCTAGAGTATGCCTGAGAAAGAAAATTGGAAAAAGAAGAAATACTTTCTATATATTGAATCAAATTCTAAGCTTCTACATTGGCAATTTATCAAATTTGTAAATGTAAAATAGGAATTAGGATCCCTGTATCATTCAATCAATCACAGCTATTAGGGTGATTGATGAAACTTAATTACACATAAATACACAAATAATTTCCTTGATCTTAGTGGGCTAAGATCAAAGGAAATTTGTGCTAAGATAAAGGGAATCTGTAGCTTCCCTTTTATGTTTCGTCACTCACTCTAAAGCTTGTGTTTGTAGATATGAAAACTCTAAGCTTGCTAAGTAGATTGAATGCTATCTACTGCATAATGGTTTTATAAAAATATCTGTTGGTTGTTCTGAAGCACGAATATGTAAAGTCTAATTACCCCTTCCTGTATTTTGCTCCTCACAAAGTGGCTATCAATTTCTATATGTTTCGTTCTTTTAGGAGCACAGATTTGCTGCTATGTCTTTGTAGCCTTGTTATCCGGGTAAGAGAACGGTTCCCTATTTGTACTTCAAGATCCTTCTAGCAACCCTAGAATCTAGATGATCTCACTGTAGTCTTTGCCATGGCTCTGTATTTGGCTTCACTAAAGATAGGGATACAGTGATTGTTTCTTTGTTTTCCAAGAATAAGTGCTCCCCCTAGCTTTATAAAAACCTAGTGAGTGATTTCCTTGTCATCGGACATGTGGCTCAGTCTGAATCACAATGTGCTACATATCTAAACCTTTGTTACGAAGGAGAAGTCTTAGACTAGGACACCCTTTCAGTATTTCAATACCTTTTTGCCACATCCATGTGAGATCATTAGCTCCGTGCATGAACTGACTAAGAATGTAACTGCATAACTGATGTTTGGTTAAGTCATTGTGAATAAATTAGTCACCAACAAGTCTTTGCAGTTTGTAGGCTTCTAAAGGTGGATCATTTTTTAAGGATGATGTCCACTGTCATATTCCTGAGTGGTTAACTTGGTGCTGTTTTAGAATGACACTTGGCTTGCATCCTGTAGCCTAGAATCATAAATGAGTTCTAAGACGTTTCCATTGACTGAGATATTTCTGTTAGAGACTTGCAATTTTGATTCTTAGGAAATATTTTGGCTCTCCTAGATCCTTTATTCAGTTATCTGTTGATGTTCTTTTAAGGATTTGATGTCTACTTCATCATTTCCTGTAATGAGAATGTCGTCGACAAGATAATTAGAGCAATGAATGTTTTACCTTATGCTGAGTAAACATTGCATAGTCATGTTTAGACTGAACAAACTCCTATCCAGTGAGAGCTATTATGAATTTCTCATTCCATTGTTGGATGCTTGCTTTAGACTAAAAGGATTTTCACATACGACATATTGTGTCTCCCCCTGCTGTGGATTCCCGAAAAGTCCACATAGATTTCTTCATGGAGGTCCCCATAAAGAAAAGCATTATGAACGTCCATTTGATGTAGAGGCCGTCGCAAACCAAAGCAACTTTAAGGAAGACACAGACAGTGACATGTTGGCTATCGGCAGAAGTTCTCTTGATAATCAAACCCTTTACGTTGAGTGAAGCCCTTAGCACCAAGCGGGCTTTTTAACGTTCAACTGACCCATCAGTACGTGCTTGATTTTGTAGACTCATTTGCAACCAATGAGTTTTCTATGAGTAGGATGAGGTATAAATCCCATGTGTGATTCTGATTCAAAGCAGCAAGTTCATCACCATTGCTTGGCGCCAGTGGGAATGCTGACCGCATCTAAGTAACAAGTCAGTTCTTAGTCGACAGAATGTGACTGATACAAACTCTTTGAATAGGAGAGGGACGATCATAGTTCACATAATTAGAGGTGGGGTATGATACCTGAAGAATCTGATATTGTAGGACACTCTAATCTAATCCAGATTGGTGGCCGAGTCTAACGAGCAGTTCGACAGATAGGTAATGCTGGAACTAATCAGGAGACTTTGGAGAGGACTCTATTAGAATATTGTCAATAGCTATTGATCATTATCAAAATCATAACAGTAGGTTGCTAGGAGCCTTAGGGCAGGTATCATAGAAAAAAAGGACCGGTAGAGAGGGAGCATCACCATCATAAAACATTCGTGGAGATGAAGATGGAACCAAGTCATTGTTACAAAAGAATATGTCTTCATGAAACATAACATCTCTAATATTAGAAAGCGGTCTTTAGTTGGATCATAAGTCTGTAACTTTTCTAAAGCGTGGGATAGCCCATAAAGATGCAGCGGGTGCCCGAGATCCGAACTTATCATGGGATCTAAGAGTAGCATACGAGATAGCCAAACACTCGAAGGTGATCAATGGTTGGTTGTTTCTTGAATAATTCTCAAAAAGAGTCTTTCTATGAAGGACTCTGGTCGGCATGCGTTGATTAGTATATTGTTGTATCACACATTCACCCAGAATGAACAGGTATGGTAGCTTGTGTTTTTGGGTCGCTGCTTCTAAGAGATGGCAGTGTTTTCTTTCAACAACCCCGTTTTTTTGTGGGGTATAGGTCAGAACTTTCATGAAGAATGTCATTGGATAAAAATAAGGAAACAACTTGGTTGAAAAATCTCTAGCACTGTCAGTTCTAACTCGGTGGACTGATGTATGAAATTGAGTGTTGACCATAGCGAAGTGTTTAATGTGGGCAAGTGTTTGGGCTTTGGATTACATGAAAATGCCATGTCCCTTGGAAAAATCATCAACATGGTAAGAAAATATGGAACCATCATGATTTGGGCTGTTTATGGGCCCCAAAGTCAAGATGGATCAGGGCAAAAGGTTGAGTGTAGTGGAAGTGCTTTTTGGAAAACTAATTCTTGCTTGTTTAGCTAATGGACATATTTGACATTTGGAATGAGGAATAGTGGCACTGTGACCCAATCTTGATAAATAACAGAAGTTTTATTAAGCTTGTATTACAATTGGAAATTTTATTGGATGTAATACAAGGAGAAATAACATTAGGAGACTTATTAGGTACCCAATAGTATAGACCTCTATTGACTTTACCTAAGCCCATCAATTCCCAATCGAAGGGTCTTGAAATTCACAGGTATTAGACAAAATTTCATATTGCAACTATTATCTAAACATAATTTGGTACTAGCCATCAACTCAGCCAGCACAATAGCACCACCAATTGGAAATCAGTCGTTTCTTGCGTGGTCTCACCAGAGTTGGAGGAGTCCAATTGTCGTCGAACGAATCAGATGTCGAAGTCCCAAAGCCGATGCCAAAACCCAATCGTCCCCAACAACTGATTCCGAAGCTCAATTGTCACCAAGAAGATCAAATTGCAGATTCGTTCCAATCATCGTTGAGAGGATCAAATTGGCAATGACCTGAAACCAACGCCGATGCCAAAACAAACGGATTGTTGCTATGCCAAAAATCGATAGTTGAAGTTATCGATCTTCTACGCTGTCATCTTTCCCAATCTGATGCGATGCTTTTTGAAGCTAACAACGCTGGTCGTGCTACAAGAGGAGACGTTGGTGAACTTTTTAAGAGTTTGGGTGCCTCGTCTCTTACTCTCTTTTTTTTTCTCTTTATTTAAAAATTAAAAAAAATTGGTAGAACCATCACGGTCAAAACCATTTTTATTCAATCTAATGGACTTTCAATGTAGGAATTACCCTTACTGAATCGAACTACGATGTGTGGTCTTAGCTCATGAAATGCAAATTACTAAGAGGGAAAAACTTTCCTATATTCGTGGAAAGAAACAACCACCAAAAAATTTAGATGAGGGGATGAAAATGGTATGCTAAAAACCAAATGTCAATGGTGGTTGCTGATGTCCATGTTCTTGAAATTACAGCATTACCTATGCTTATCTCCTGCTCATGAAATCTGGAGTGCTCTTTCCAAAGCCTTCTATAATGGAAGTGATGAGTTACTTGTCTTCTTGTTGCATTAGAGAGCCTTTACTGCTAAACAAAATGTAAGGCCACATTCTCTGTGTATTATAGAGAGTTGGTGGTATTTCATGAATTAAACTAGCACAATAAAGTGGTTATGAAGATCCTGATGACATAATAGCATATCATAATTTGTCAACAATTACGAGTACCCATAGTTTCTTGCAGGATTAGATGGAGAGTTTGAACAAATCCGTGAGAAATTCTGCGTAAAACCTAGTTCCAAATTTAGAAGCAAGTTACTTGGAGGTTTAACAAGAGGCGGTACACTCATATTCCTTGAAGGGAGAATTAGGGAACGTTGAAACTTCCGAATGGTAGCTCATAATAGAAGCCAGCATACACACAAATCCGCAAACCCAACAACGGTGACAGAAGTGCACTCACTACACAAATCTGGTCATAGCAAGAGCCAATGTTTTGAATTTTTTGGATATCACACTGTGGAATCACTCGCAATCAAAGGAAGAAATTTAAAGAGAAAATCTATTGATGTTGTTGTGGAAAGAAGGAAGATGTCAAACAGTCCTCATCATTTGTAGCACTATGTGACATCTAGGCACCAACTTGAGGGGGAGTGTTGAGATTTTCTAAATATTCTGAAACTTCTAATTTTCTGTAATGCTCCAATTATGTCAAGTACGATTTTCATAATATTCTAGATATAAAGTAATCTCCAATTTCGTCAGCATTATATTGTGTATTTGTAACTGACATAATAGTAATTCAGTAGATTAATTCTCCCTATATAGATTGTAACTCTTTAGTGAAAATCAATGAATTGAAAATACAATTCTTCAAAAAAACATTTTGCACTTGTATATTCTAGATTAAAGTCGCTATTTGAAACTCCTTATACATTATTGTCAATTCTTTCTTTCATATTTATAATTAACATATTTTATCTAATCATTGGATGATGATCCAATCATCCAAAACCATAATCGATACTTGTACTCAATAGGTGGACATTATTAATTTTCTGTAGTGACCTAAAAGTAATTTCAAAGATTAAATTATTTCATATGCCATTTACCTGTATAGAGGATCAGCATCACCAGCACTGGCATTCAAAACTTTAACAAGACATGAAAGCACAAGATAGAAAGTGATCCAATATCGATTAACCATCTGCTCAAAAAATTACAAAATTTGAAAATCTTAACTATATAATTAATCAAATCAAGTCAACATAGTTCATATCACCAACAACAATGTATTAATTAATAAATGATTTTGAGTAAGAGTGAGGTTATTGTTCTACATTGATTGAATCAGCGAAAATAAAAAGATTAAATCAACTTAGAGTACGAGAACAATTAAAGATAAAGCTTTACTTCTCAGTAGCAGCTCCCAATGAAATCTTTCTTCCTTAGAACCCACGTAACAATGTCAATGAAGAAACAGAAATTTCCTTTTATGTATTTTAATTACTTTTTGGTATTTTCACTTTACTTTAACCTTCTAATAGAGGGATCTTACTTCAAATTAACTGTAAACCTCTAACAACTTAATTGGCAACCATTCTAACCTCCTGTTAAATCACTTTCTGTCTATTTCACAAGCTAAAAATATACATATGAAGCATAAAAAAGTAAGAGAAAACATGGAAATTACTGGTAAAAACATGAGTGAACAAAAGATCAAATGTAGACAAGAACGAGAGAGCACCATGCCAAAATGCCGATGAACAGAATGGATTCTTCTATTAGAACTCTTCGACGCAATTAGCTTCTCCACTCCCTTAAATCAAACCAAAATCACCATCAAATGACAGTTTTTAAATAGTACAATAATAATAATAATAATAATAATAATAATAATAATAATAATAATAATAAAATGAAATTTACCATAACAATCTCATCTTTGCATTTAATTCCTGTGACAGTCCTGCAAAAGAAATGGAAATTTGAAATCAATCTAGAGATTAAAACAAGAAGTGAAGGAAAATCGAAGGTTACTAAGTGATTTGAGTAGAGTACCCGCTGTTATCGACGGCTTTGGCGGCGTTCTCGATCTGGAAAACGCGACCATCGGGAGAGCTCATTCTCTTGCTTTGATTTGATTCTTCGGACTTTCCTTTGTGTTTCTTCAACTATGTCACAGAGAAAGTCTGGTCCTATTTTCTTTCTTTTTCCTTTTTAATAGGATATTATCAAATGATGATACAAACATTTCAAAACTTTCAGAGGAGAAAGTTACAAATTCTTCGATTAAAGAATATCTAACTGTAATTTATTGTTAATTTAACGAAAAATGATAAAAAGATTTAAATGTTATTAACATTTTTTTATTTTTTCTAATTAAATTTAGTTTTTAATTGAAATTTTTTAAAAAGAACACTTCTTTTTAAGAAAATCGATGAAAAAAAAAAATTAAAATTAAGAATTGATGAAAAATTTTTAAAAAGAAAGCTCTTTCCAACTTTTTTTTTTTCAAATTTTTTAACTTTTTGAGTAATTTTAATTTATTTTCTAAAAAGAAATAATTTAAATGTATACTGTCATTGTTTTGTCATTTTCTAAAGTTAAATATGACATTAAATAACTTGTTATTGTTTCTTAATTGAAGAATTTGCAACTTCCATTTTTCAATTAATTTTTTTTTTTTTAAAGTTTACCTTAATTGATATTATCCTTTTAATATCTATTAAAAAAAAAAAGGTTATTTAAAAATTTTTCATAAGTTTAGCCAAATCGTGTGAACACCACTTGTTTTATTGCTATATAGGAAGCCCCCATCTTTTGCAGACTGTTATACTATTCTGTCAAAAGAGCATGCCTATTTTGCCCTTATAGATTTACAACTGAACTTAATTGACTTATCCCTTTGCCTGGCCACCAGTAAGCGCCTTACGGTGGCCAACTTGGCCAGCCGCAAAGTCCTGATCCACAACAAATAAAGAGAGAGATTAGAAGAAATAGAAGAGAAGAGGAGGAGAGAAGGAAGAGAAAAAGAAAGAGGAATTGGAACAGAAGAAAGAGACCAAGAAAAGAGGAGGAAGTGAAGATAAAAGAGAAAAAGAAAGATAAGATGTTGATGCTTGATTTTGACACTAACGACTTCGCATGTGCAAAGTGATAAGAGGATCTTAAAAATCACACGTGATTAATATGAGATTTAGGCAAGGTTATTGGTGTATGCAAAGACTTAATAATAAAGGAGACAATGAGAATTTTTATAGTGGTTCGGATGCTTAAAACGATTTCTACATCCACTGTAATCTATTATATGAGTGTTTTTGGTTATCAGCCAAGTTACAAGAGGTTGCGAACAGCGAACATAATTACAAGAGCTTGATATTTAGAGAGAATATTAAGTCAATCTCTTTCCCGTAGGTTGTCTTTGCTATAAAACTGTTGAAATCCGAGATCCCAATTTTGTAAGGGGCAATCCTCTATTTATAGTCGTTGAGTTCAACATAATGATTACAAGTCTACAAGTGAGTAGGTACCATGCAAATCTTTCCTTGCCTCCCATTAGTTAATAACTTAAAAAATATCCATAAATTATATGGGGTTTGGACAGGTGTGTGGACCACATTCATTCACAGACAAAACTTGAGCCTGCTGGGTTAGTGATAGCCGTGTTCTCTCTGTCTTGGGGTGACGTGGCAAATTCTGGGCAGCACAAAGCCTTCTTGAACTCTGATTGGTGCTCGTTGATGTAAGCTTACGTCAGCCCTAATTTTTTAGGCATAACAGAAGCTCCCCAATTCTTGAGATTCAAGGAATTGGATTTCGAGAACTTCACGATTATGCCACAACCTAACTTGTCCTCAAAAATTCTTACTTGAGTTAAGCACTGAGTGTAATCACATTATTGCAGACGACCTGAAGTTAACTGCTTGATCTGACTTGCAAATTGAGTGTAGGTTGTGAGTTATGCCTTGAGAGTAGCACAAGCGACTTGACGTGATTGTTTACTGAGATTTACTGACATGAACTTGATCTTGTCTTGGGTCATCGGGATGTGTCTTGAACTCTAACTGTTATTCACAACTTGAAAACACTTAGAATATTTCATGATTGAAAATTCTGAATCATCTTGTTCGGTGTTCGTCTTCAGCATGTTGAATAAATGTCTCCTTTGAACGACTTCTTCAGATGTTATTTGTTGTGTTTGATAGCTGGCTTGGTCAATAAAGTAATCTTTTAGTTGACAGATGTGTCTCTGTGCGCAATAAGTGTTAGCCATGAGCAATAAATGCAAGCCATGTTGAAACGATATTTCCTTTTGATACATTAAATTCGGATGAAGGCGCATTTAATGCGGAAGAGATAATCACGCTAGTGATTGGTATTCTCGATAAAGAGAGGTGCCAGTTGATTTCTATGAAGCGTGGGGGTTACTCTTCCCATAGATCAATGACACGTGGTCGCGATCTATGGCTGAGAGTGCACGATCTATGGCTGAGAGTGCACTCCCGCCCAAACGTCGCTTATAAAAGAAGCTGTAGCATCATTTTTCTCACTATAAAACCCAAACTTTTCAGAAAACTCAAAATTTTCAAAGACAAAATAACGTTTTCTTACTCCAAAAAATTTGTTCTTCCTTCACCAGTTCATGCAAACCCAACTCTACAACAGAGTACCCATTTTAGGCAGCCAAGAGGTAAAAAAAACTTCTTCCTTTTTCTCTTCTTTCACATTCCTGCAAAAAATTTCTTTTTTACAGTCATGGTGGTCATGGGTGTTTGGTAGGTATTAGGAAAGAGCATTCTTGGGTAGTGTTCGAAAAAGAAACACTTGAAGGTTTAAAACTTAGGGTAAAGAGTTCTAAAGGATTGTTTTTAGGAGTTTTAGGGTTTAGAAGCTTGACGGCCAGGCAGAAAACATAGGGTTCTTTTACACGTCCTTTGAGTCATCGTATGAGGTAGATTTTTCAGGGTTTGAGTCCTCCCTAAATGTTGTACCTTTAAGACTCTAGAACCAATGGAGATCCTTGAGATGAGAACAGTCAGCAGAGAAAGCTCACACCCACCGGGTACCTCTGCATGTACCAAAAAGGTGATAAGGTCAACTGTCTCAACGGATGAAATCAAAAAGGTATTACAGCAATATGCAATCAATATGGATGTGTACCGAAAGAGGACATACACTACCCAGGAGCCTCCCGAGGGAATGGTCATGATCTCGAAAGCCATTTTCAAATGCAGAGTGAGATTACCCTTCCACCCCTACATCAGGTCGATTCTCGACCACTTTACGGTCCAGCCATTCCAGTTGACGTCAAACGTATATATGGTAGCTATCGCTAGTATATATCATTTTGCGAGCATGAACTCAGGGAGCCAATAGCGTTAGAGCTCGCTTGCACCTATATCTTGAAGAAGAGTAAAGATAAGGACTCGTACTACCTCTCCAAATGACCGACGATCGAGGAAGGAATATTTAGTTATCCTAGCAACGTGGGAGCTTACGAAACCAACCCTTTTTTCTTTAAGTATGATGGTATTTGTAAACTTCATGAACCGAGTAGGTTTTTCCCTTCAATTTTCAGGTTGTTCGTCCATTTACACTTAATTCTTTTTTAGAGTATAAGCTAACAAACTCTTTTCTTTGCAGAAAACAAAATGCCTAGATTGCAGTTGTTGACTGATTACAGCCACATTCAAGAATTTGACCAACTTCCTGACAGAGGTCGTGACGCGAAGATGCTTGTGTCTACTGAAAATCTTCAAAAGTACGACGTATCTAGATGGTTCAACTCGTAAGTTTTTCCTAAACAGAAAAACCCAAGTCTTGTACACATTTTGACTCTTTATGTTGATTTTTTTTTAATGCCATGCAGTTAAAGAAATCGAAATGACCTGGGGGAATCGGCTTCCTTAGGTTGAATCCAGACTCGCAACCTGGACCAACTTTGAGCAATGTCCCTGTAACGGGGACCCAAGCTAGTGCCCAAAAGGCAACCAACCGTGGAGTGACGTGAAGAAGCTCCCTAGCCTGTTGTGGCAATTTGACCAAGAAGAAGACCGTAGACACGAAGAGGAGGAAGGTGATAATAGCTAAAGCGTTTGAGTTTGAGTCAGACGACTTCGGGATACTGCTAGGTGGGCTACAACCTACCCAACTTCCTACTTCGAAAGTCGCTTGGAAAGATGCGTCGGAGACATCGCAAGGGGAAGAAGGTGCGGCCACTCAAGGAGAAACCGGCCAGGAACAGATCGAAGAGATCCCCACTACAGAAGGTAAGGATCAATCTGTTTTAGTCCTCCTAGGGCAGATGCCAGATCATCTAAGGCTGGTGGTCTTTACTCTCCTAGAGTGCAAACTAGAGTCGACCTTCAAAAGATACATAGCCTCTAGGCCTTTCGACCTCCTAACCACTACGCTTTAAATGCAAAGCCAGGTAAAACATGCATTTCTCTTTGTAAACTCTTTAATGCTGATCGAGCTCCTTGGTTTTTTTTTTTTAAACTAATTCTTTATCCTTTTACCTTTGCAGTTTGTGCTCGCCTTGAACATTGCTCACAACAAAATGAAGATGAACACTGGGGGACAACTTCATGGGATGAAGGAGGAGATCACCAAACTGAAGTAAACTCTTGCAGTTTCAAACGAAGTTGCAAGTGATGCACAACTTTAGGCGAGCACATTTCTAGTTAAAAGGGATTATGCTTAGCGAACAGTAGAGTTCTAGAAGCAGGAGCTTTAAAAGAAGGACGACCTAACCAAAGAGCTTCAGATGACAATAGTGAATCTCACTAGAGATCTCAACTCGCGAGAGCAAGAGCTTCAACAAAGAGAAAAGGAACTGCAAGAGAGTCTAGATCGCAAGAAAGAGATCAAGAATATTTAAACTGCTCTGTGGGAGAACACAGAAAAGAAAATGAAAGTGAAGGACACCAAGCTCGAGATGGCTCATGGGTGGATCACTTCATTGACTGAGTAGATGAAGTAGCTAAGCAACGAGGTGGAAAGGAAAGCCGGTCATTGGTCACTACAAATTATCCATAGTTTGCAAGCTAACAATCTAAACTTGGACGTTTCTAACCTCCTTGAAGAGTCTTAGATAGCCCTTGCATCGATGTAGTCAGCTGACAAACAAAAAGATTAAGAGACTACCCTAGAGGAAGATCAACAAGAAACAAAGAACCCTAAAGACCAAGCGACCAACCCCGAGGTCGTAGCAACTAAAGTCAGGGATCCTAAAGTTCAAGAGAAATGATCAACCTCCCTTTTGCCTGCTCTCGAATAGC